CACTTGGAAGATGGGGCATCCCTGGGCCAGTGGAAGCAACGGGCAGTTGCCCTGCTCTGGAGTAGGAGCCAGGCAGCGACCTTCTGGTGGTGAGCAGTGGAAGCTCAGGCGGAGCAGATATAGGCAGAGAGGAGAAATGAGGACACTCAGAAACCTCAGTTCTAACTCGAAGAGTAAGAGAAGTAGGAAGCAGGAGAGAAGAAGTAACCTGAGGAGAGGACAGTGCAGCTGGAGAGGGGGCCTGAGACAACGTGGGACCGAGTGCCGGTGCCAGGACTTCAGTGCTTGTAGCTCTTCTTGCTGGAGGATGAGGTGGTGGTGTATTTGATGGTGGAACTGCCGCCCCCAGTGGAAATCAAGCCACCCCCAATGCCTCTGCCACTGCCGGAACTGAAGCCACCTCCAATGCTGTGACCGCTGCCATAGGAGTAGCCGCTGCCTCCACCCAGGCCTAAGGCACCGCCAACACTACTGGCGCCGCCATAGCCGCTGGAGACGGTGGACTGCACCACGGCTGTGGAGGGGAGGGGACAAGGACACACAAGACTCGGTGAGCTCATTCTGCCAGCCTGAGTCCAGTCAGAAGAGTACCAGGGCAAGGGAGGGAGGCAAGCAAAGATACTTACAGATGTTGACTTGTCCAACGCCTTCCCCACTCAGCCTAGGAAGAAGGAAACACAGAGATCATGAGATCCCAGAGAGCCTCTGCTGGACCAGTGTGGAAAGCCTCGGTGTTGAGCATAGTCCCTGGGGAAAGTGCCTTTAAATGGTTCCCTGAGAGCAACAATTATGGCCACCACCAGAGCTCCTTAAACTTGTGCTCACTGCCTGCACCTCATGGAGATGGACCCAGATGATTGAGGAGGTTGAGTGAGTTACCCACCTGCACTCCTCGCCTTCCAGCAGCTTCCTGTAGGTGGCGATCTCCACATCCAGGGCCAGCTTGACATTCATCAGCTCCTGGTACTCCTTCAGCAGCCGGGCCAGGTCCTGCTTGGCCTTCTGCAGGGCGTCCTCCAGACCAGCCAGCTTATTGTTGGCATCCTTGAGGGCCAGCTCCCCACGCTGCTCAGCATCAGCAATGGCGGCCTGCAGGTTGGCGCACTAGAGGGGGAAGATAGGCAAAATGAACCCACAATCTAGGCTCCCAGGTGAGACTAACCATGGTTTTTCTTTTCCATTAAGGCAGAATTCTAGAGCCCAGAGTTCATGGCTCTCTTTGTCTAGTCTTGTGCATTCTGCACACCTTATCTAGTCTGGGAGCCACTCGAGAAAACCTATGCCTCTGTGTGTTAACCAGCCTGCAGGAGGATGTGACTGGTGACTGGTGGAAGATACTACAGTAAACATAAGACCAGGGGATGCAGGGAGAAATGGACCCACTGGCTTTTTGAATGTGACAGTTGGATAATTTCATACGGATGCCAGACTCACTTCAACAAATTTACAAACATCCTCAGTGAAGTGATGAGTTTCACATCAAACTGTCAAGACCATGCCTTCCTTCCACCTCATATTTTAGGGCAACACTGATCTCCATCCGGTGTCTTTACTCCACTTTCTTTTTCACTTTGATTCTTGAGCAGATCTGCAACAATCTTCCCCCACTCTGGTCTGCCCTTTTATTTCCCTACTTGCTTCTCGTATTCTCAAATCAACCATTCTTATTACATTATCTCCTTTCAATGCCTCCAGACTATGTCTTTACACCTCTGATCAGTCAGGATTGGTCTTGTCACGTGACTGTATGATTCTCTAATGTTTGGATCAGTCTCTCCTAACCTGTGGGAAATCTCTAATGAGGAACTACATGCCCTCCTCTCCCTGCTGTTCTCTCAGTGTCCAGGAATTTCTCAAATGATGGGGATGGCTGCCTGGTGGTCTAGCAAGGAAACGATGCAAATCTTCTCCACAGTCACCCACCGTACCTGCTTCTTGACATGGTCGATCTCAGATCTCAGCCTCTGGATCACGCGGTTGATCTCAGAAATCTCTTGCTTGGTGTTGCGCAGGTCGTCCCCGTGTCTGCCCGCTGTGATCTGCAGCTCCTCGTACTGTAGTCCAGAGGGAGAGAAGGCGGTGCATATGGGCTTTCACATGCTAAAGGCGACGTTCACTTCTGAATCAGGCATTTAACAGACTTGAACCTAATGGCTTCCCCACAAGGGATTTTAGGAGGAGTTGATGTTACAAGGTCATCGGATACTGTACACAGGTCTCACACCATCCTTGTTGGGGAACCACTGCCTGTCTAGTTCTCTTGGGGACCAGCAATGTTCTTTATTATGTTTCTGAGAGCCCGCATCAGGGTGAAGCTAACGCAGAGATCACTAGGTCTTTATCTATGGTGGCTGTTCTCCTGAACTGGATTTGCCTTACCAGACTTGGACATCAATTCTGTAAATGTCTACTCTATGAGTGTAGGGTAGACATCCTGTGAGAGGACTCCAGCTTCCTAGAAGTAGATTTCCCCAGTGAAGTCTTTCCCTTATTGGTCTTCAGAGAGGGGGCACCGGGATTCTGCAGCAGCTGCCAGCTCACTGCTCACCTTGCTCTGGTACCAGGACTCAGCCTCAGCCCGGCTCCTCTGAGCGATCTCCTCATATTGGGCTTTGACTTCGGCGATGATGCTGTCCAGGTCCAGGTCACGGTTGTTGTCCATGGAGAGGACCACAGAAGTGTCTGAGATGTGGGTTTGCATCTGAGCCAGTTCCTGTGGAACACAAGATCGTCAGATCATCTTTTCCTGTGACATTTCAGAGGCAGCCAACGCCAAGATCTTCCACCCTTTGCAAAGTCCCATTAGAGAAAATAAAAGGGGGAGGAGATGCTTACTGCGTCATAGAAGGCTCTGAGGAAGTTGATCTCATCTGTGAGACTGTCTACCTTGGCTTGTAGTTCCACCTTATTCATGTAGGCAGCATCCACATCCTGCAGAATAAGCCAACATTTGGAGTCAGCTGGGTCCTCCCTCCCAGTCTGCCCATCTTTTATCCTCCCTACCCATTTTGCTCTCTGCTGTGGCCAAGGACCCCACATGTGGGCAGGGCAGTGTCCTCTCCTTCTGCAAAGAAACATGAGCCCCCGATCTTAATCAGCTCACCTTCTTCAGAGTCACAAATTCATTCTCTGCTGTTGTGCGCTTGTTGATTTCATCTTCATATCTAGAATAGAAAGGGATAAAGCATAATCGACCAGTGGTGAAGATGATACAGAAAAGGCAGCCTAGGATCCGAACTTTCCATGAAATGGATTCATCCCAACTGAGCTTTCCTGCCAGTGAGCCTAACAGGTGATTTTTGTTGCCCATAAATTTACCCTTCCCATCCACCTGTATGGCCCTCTTGTCCTCTGGGGTTTGTTTTGAGGCTATAATTGTGTTTTTCATGTCCGTGGACATGTTTCGCTAGGATTCGTGCCCACACCTGGACCTGGTCACCCTATAGTCTTGAAGTGTGTGCTTCACCAAGCCGAGACCATTTCCCCCCTTGAACTCACTTTTTCTTGTAGTCCTCCACCAGGTCCTGCATGCCCCTGAGCTCCGAGTCCAGGCGGCTTCTCTCCCCGAGGATACTGTCCAGCTGTCTCCGGAGGTTGCTGATGTACTGCTCGAACAAAGGCTCCAGGTTCTGCCTCACGGTCTTGGTGCCCTGCTCCTGGAGTAGGGTCCACTTGGTGTCCAGGACCTTGTTCTGCTGTTCCAGGAAGCGCACCTGGAGGAGGAGAAGATGGTTATTTGTAGACAAAGGAAGGAAGAAAGACATGTGAGCTGTCAGGTCCCCAAGCAGGCCTGGTGGTCACCATGATGCTGGGCTACTATGGAGCATGTACAGGGGCTCAGGCTGACAGGTCTGCTCCCCTAAATCGTTTTCCTTGCACCCCACAGACCTCGCTGATGAAATCCCCCCCCATGGACCTACGAGGTGTTCTCACCCTCTAAAGTATGGAGCCTATCTCTGCCTTTCTACATTACTTCTCTTTCTCTTGAAAAGTGCAATCACAAACCTAATTAAAAATAGTATTTCCCTGATATATTTCTCAAAGTTTTTATTTAGTTAGGATCTAGTATATGGGATGTTAAGTGTTTAAAAACTAATGATGAAATTCCAAACTTATTAATGGTTAGATTCCAGTCTAACTTCCCATTTAAGCATGAGTATTCTCTAAAACATCCTCGTTTAATGGTCATTCTCTATTTCTAGAATAAATTTAGTATTTCTATGGATATGTAAATGTTTCTGGGTCTTTTTTTAAATCCAGCCATGATATCCTTCTTTTCTTTTTTTTTCCCTTTTCCCCCCCTCTCAGAGCTCCAGAGCAGTTTGCACCGGAATTTTATTTTTAATCGCTTAGATTCCTCACCAGGTAAAGCTAACCCACTTTATCTCTCATTCCCTTATATATGCTTCAGAGTTATCAGAAGTTGAGAATTCTTCTTCCTAGGCAGGAATGAGGGACATTGGAGGATTCAGTAGCTCTAAATGATGCCCATCACCTGCTGCCTGTGGTCCACATGAGCCCACCTGGCGTCCCAGGCGACAGCTAGCCGGGATCCCCTTCTCCCTCCCCCCTAGTCTCCCCCTAGTAGGACATTCGTGGTTCTCCAGTTTGGGGACTCTGAAATCCCCTGGAGGCTGGTCCTCCCTGCTCACCTTGTCGATGAAGGAGGCGAACTTGTTGTTGAGGGTCTTGATCTGCTCCCGCTCCTCGGTCCTCACCCGCTGGATGGTGGGGTC